GAGTAACTTACAAGAACCAGCTCTGGTACCAATTGAAAGAATTAATGGTTGAGTTCAAGAGGGGGGGTGAATTGAACTTTAAAACTTTTTCGCAAAACTTACTTTCTTTTTGGAAGAATGAGTTATCTTTATTCAATCTTTGCAAAGGTAACTCGGTTTAAACACAGCACAATTAAAGACAGAAAATAAAAGAGATAAAAGAAGAATATTAACACACAAATTTATACTAGTTCACTCTAATCCAGAGCTACATCCAGTTCTTGACAAACCAGTCAAGTTCCACTAATACCAAGTGAAAATTACAACCAGGTAGATACTCACCAATCTACCCCAAGAACTATCTTGCAAAACCCACAAGACAGAATCTTGAAAACCACCCAGTAACCAAATCCGAGTTCATTGTACCAAGTGCGAGATCACAATCCAACCTGCACAATCACACTTTTACAAAAGAGTATGGAATGAAAAAACCTGGACTTGAAGTTTCTAATTGTCCAGAACCAATTCTAACAGCACTTTCTCTCTTGAATGACCACAATTCTGATCACAGCACCTTATGATATGAAAAAGATCCTTGAATGCAGAGAAAGTCACGTATGAAAGTTTCACAGATTGATTTCACAAGTTTTCTCAAGCAGTGTATTGTATTGTTGTATTTTAAAAGATAGATCAATTCTGTATATATAGAGTAAAACATAGAATCAGAATGCTTCAACTGTCAAAAACTGTTTTAGAGAGTCAAAAGATCGATTAGATTGAAGTAAAACAGTTTAGAAGAGACTCTGATCGATTAGAACTGAAGTATGATCGATCAGACCGAGTTATGATCGATCAGAATGAAACTATGATCGATCAGACCGAGTTATGATCGATCAGAATAAAACTATGATCGATCAGAATATATTTCAATCGATTAAAACGTCGATTCAATCGATTGATTTCATTTAAAGCTCCATTTCAATCGATTGATTTCGAGTTTTTAATGGATTGAAACAACTTAATGAAAAATGACAGCTCTTCTGTTTCAATCGATTGAAAGTCATTTCAACATATTGAAATCCTGCAAACACTTAGTTAAAAAAAAATAGCCTCTCTGTTTTAACAGATTGAAAAATATTTCAACAGATTGATTTTCTGAAAAACTCTTAGACTGAAAAAAATCTTTCTGTTTCAACAGATTGAAAAATGCGAAACTTTGATATTGAAAAATTCATTGAGTTATTTTAACTTGTTGATTCCGCGAATCAATCAATTGAAAATACGATTATATATGACCACTTATTCTTTTAAGTGATTTTAACAAATTGAAAATCCTTTTCAACAGATTGAAAAACTTAGTTTGTTCTTTTAATACTTAGATGTTAGTTTTTCATGCAGAAAAATGATTTTCAATGGGATGCAACATTATAAGGTGCTTATCACAAAATATATTGGCCTATCAAGAGATTAAGTGCTTAAACTAAAAAAAAAAACCTAATCATCTACACACCCACAACCTAAGCTATATCTATGTCTTCATCAAAACCACCAAGTGCTTGTCTTCATCAAATCCACCAAGTGCTTCAGCATCAACATTATTAGGTTAATTGATGTTCTTAAGTGACATAGTTATTACAAAAGAGGGAAAAGAAAGGAAGTCAATCCTAAATACCTTTAATTGATCTTTTCTCAACAATTTACAGTTTTTTGTCATTTAATTTCAATTCAACTCTTTATGCAAAACCCAATTTGTTTTAATCCACTTAGTAAGCATATAATTGGGAATTTCCATTAAAACTATTCCTCGTGGGATTGACTTTTATTTAATCGAAATATTATACTACGATTGATAATTTTGGTACGCTTGCCAATAATTCAACACCTGCATTGACGTTGGACCTTAGACTAACATAAAAAACTCAAAATAACAAACGTAAAAAATCTCCTATGTACTACTGTATACACCACAAAGGAGGAATAGTATAACTTTGAATATGGTAAGGAACTTATTAATTCGAGGGAAGGTTTCAAAAAAATTTTGGTCTAAAGCAATGAATTGGAGTATTCAGATTTTGAATAAAAGTCCATTTTTTATTGTTTAAAATATGACATCGAAGAAAAAACTAGACATGGAGCACTTCAGAATTTTTTGGATGATTTACTTTTGTCCATGTTATGGATCAGAAAAGAAAGAAACTTGATGACAAATTTGAAAAATGTGTCTTTCTTAGTGTAAGTGAAACATCTAAAGCATATACATTTGTTTAATCTTTATAAAAAAAATATTGTTTCTAGCAAGGATGTTGTTTTGGATAAAAAAAAATACTTGGTATTGGAATAAGAAGCAACATACCTAAATATCACTAGATGAAAATGATGAGAAAGAACATAATTTAGTCCTTTCTGCATTTGAAAGAATTTCTCCAACAATCATTGGAACTTCTTCCATAAATTATAACAATGAAGAAGAATTACCTCCTCACATAAGAAAAGAACTAACTTGGATGGATGATTTTCATGTAACTGGAATTCTCAATTCAATTTATTTATTTTACTTTATTTAAATATTATGATCCTACAACATATAATAATTCTATCAAGGAGAAGAAGTAGCAAAAGGCGATGGATGATGAAATTGATGTTATTGAAAGAAATAATACATGAAAATATGTGGTATTCCTAAAGAGTGCAATATCATTGGTGTAAAATAGGTGTTTAAGAAAAAATTGAAATAAAACGGTGAAGGTGACAAGTGTAAGGCATAATTGGTAGCAAAGGATTACAAGCAACAATATGGGATTGATTATACAAAATTTTTTCTTCAATTGCAAGACATGACACAATAAGATCAATGGTTGCTTAACAACCAGAAATACTTGGTCTATTAACCAATTAGATAAATCAGCATTCTTGCATGGGCTCTTGAAGGAATAGATATTTGTTGAACTACTATCGGGTTATGTCAAGGTTGGAAGTGAACATAAAGTGTACAAATTAAACAAAGTCTTTTATGAGTTGAAACAAGCTCTGCGAGTATGACATTGAATCTTATTTCCTTAAAGTTGGATTCACAAAATGTCCTTTTGAGCACATACTTTTTTTGTGAAAATTGGAGATAAAGGTAAATTGCTATTATTTTCTTGTATGTTGATGATCTTACTTTTACTGGAGATTGGAATTTCATTTTTTATAACTTTAAGAAATTTATGATGCATGAGTTTGAAATGAGTTATCTTAGTTTAATGCATTACTTTTTGGGTATAGAAAAAATTTTATCCATTGATGAATTTTTTCATTTGTCAAAAGAAACATGTGAAAGATGTTTTGAATATGTTTCAAATGAAGGATTGCAATCCGGCAAAACATTCCAATAGAGCATGACCTAAAGATTCATAAAGATCTTGAAGAAAAAAAGGCTGACAACATACTTTATAAGCAAATTGTTGACAGTTTGATATATTTAATTGCAACACGATCAAAGATAATATTTTTTGTTAGTATGATTAGTAGATATATAGAGAATCCTTCATTAATAGAAAATATTATTATACATTTCTATTGCATTCATTAAATGTATATTTACCTAAACCCTAACTCTACATAAATGTATTTGTTGGTTGCAAAGTGAATCCTTTACTATTTGCAAGGAACTAAAGATTTGATATTGTTTTACAAAATGGGTGAAAACTTCAAAGTAATGGGATTTATTGATAATGATTATGTAGGTGATTAAGATGATAGAAGTACTTTTGATTGTGTGTTTATATTGGTAACGAGTGTTGTTTCATGATCATCTAAAAAATAACTTATTGTTACATTGTTAAGTACTAAAGTTGAATTTGTTGATACTACAACATGTGCATGTCAAGCCATTTGGCAAAGAAGAATCCTTAAAGAAATGAATTTCAAACAATCGAGTGCAACCACAAATTCTATGATAATAATTCAACTATTAAATTGTTCAAGAATTCAATGTTACATAGGAGAAGTGATCATAACACATTTTGTTGCTTAAATATGATTAAATAATACAATAGAGAAAATATAAGTCTGTGAATAAGAGGAAACCTAGATCGTAATCTTGGAAAGCATTGAAAAAGTGTTGTAAATTTAATTATTACTATAAAAAATTAGAAAAGGAGAATTTTGTGAATTTTGATATTTAAAAGTAGTAAAGGAAAGCAATGAACCTAAGTTCTACTTAAAATAGTAAATCTAAACAATTAATGAACACAATAGAATTGTGTGATAAATTAAAGCATTTGAATAAATAGAAATAATAGGTAAAAGGAAATTTTGTGCAATAAATTTGGAAGAAAACTATGAAATACAAGAGTTAATTCTCCCATCATCAACTTATTTCTTTAATTATCATTAATTTCTTGACCTAAATATAATCATAAAAAAGATTCATATCAATTTCAAACATTCATAATTCAATTATTTAGATTAAATTGACTCATTCTATTCAATTAATCTAAAAGTATTATTCAATTCTTAAACTAAGCAACTTTATAAACTAAGAAATTTATTTATCACGTAATAGAAGAAATTCAAACGAACAAATGAACAATTCCAACTATATTGATTATAATTCTTTATAAACCTTTAAAGTCATTTAGAACCAACTTTAAATCATATGCATTTGATTAAAATTGACACATTATTATTAATATATCTTCTGTTTTCATCTTAATTTTAGACATACATATATTAAAAAAGAACAACGATCTAAGATTATAATATTCATCACAAATTTAATATAGATTTGATTAAAAATAATTTAAAAGATAAAAAATTACTTTTATAAAATATAATATTTTTTAACTTATCTTTAAAAATATTTTTTTCAAAATTACTCTCTAAAGTTATTTTTAAAAAATAAAACTAAATAAATAAGCCCTTAAATAACTTTTTTCAATATGTTAGAGCTGCCTTTAATATCTATATAAAAAATAATTTTTTTTCAAACCTATACCTTTATTTATTTATTTATTTATTTTAAACAATGGAATCCATACAAAAGGCTATAAGCGATTCTTGTGACATAATCTTCTCTCCGTGTTCCAACCCAACCATCCTCCTGATTTTCCCACACTTGCAAGAAGAAGCTCCAAGAAGAGAATTTCCATTGCGCCGCGCATAGTTCTCAGCAACAGAAGCTGAGGAGAATTTCAAGTGGACCAATTTTCTCGTGAAACCATGGACTCATTCTCCATCAGAACCCGCACCAAGCCTCCCAAATTTTGTTTGGATTTCTCTTTATACCCGAAGAAGACAAAAAAAATGGCCTTACATGTGTTACACCCGTTAATAGATAAGCATGAAAAAATATTTTTTTTAGAGAAAATAAAATAAAATTGGAACATCACCGTCTGAACTCTGAACAGTTACACAATTTTAAGAAGAATAAGAAACAGGATTACGAAACTAAAACGTCAAATAATACTTAAATAAAGGAATAAAGAACAAATAGAATCATTGAATTAATTTATAATCATTATCCAAGTTGTTGGCATTATTTGCCAAACTGTGAAGAAAAAAAGAAAAAAGAAAAAGAGCACCTTTGATTGCAACAATGTCTTCTTAATGGTTAGCACTTAAACAGAGTTTAAGGGTATGAAAATGACAGCAAGAGAGAGAAAAAAAAAAAAAGGCTCGTTTTTTGATGGGTATATAATTTTGGATTTTGAAGAGTGCGCGGTGCACATGTAGAAAGAGAAAGGGCTTTTGTGAGGAATAGGAGTAGAGAAAAGCAGCGTAGTCCTTGAGAGTTGAGAGTTCCTTTTTCTCTGAATAATAATAATGTGGATAATAGTTCCTGTTAATCTTATTATTATTGCATAGTGTTTCAGATCTGTATCATATTAAGCACAAGCCAGGTTGCAAGCAAGGTGGGGTGTTTTGCTGAATGTGGTAGCTGAAACTTTCTTATGGCGTCTGAAACGGCGTCGTCGGCGGATGAAGAAACCGTTGTTGTTTCAACTGCGGGTGCAGGAGGGACTGATAAGAGAGGCAGACACAGGATTCTTGCTGAGTTGAAGCGTCTCGACCAAGACTCCAAATTTCTTCAAGTTAGCTCACTCCAAATTATTTATTCTGTTCTATTTTTTAAAAATTTCTTCATTTTTGGAAATGTAGTTAGCACCAGAATGCTGTAGAAAAAAAAAATCCTACTGCAGTTTGTGTATGGTGTGCAAAAAAAAAAGTAGTTAAATAACTGATAATTCAAAAATGATTGCTTATTAATGATCTGCACGTATTTTTCTGATTTTTTTTTTCTTAGGTTCATAGATAGGTGTTCGGTTAATCGCAATCTGCTCCCTAGTTTGTTTGTTAGATTTCAAATTTCAGGTTGCTTGTGGACTCGATCGGACCAGTCCTTTAGAAGTTTCTGTGTTTAGTTATAATGAATTTTCCTATTGGGTTCTCTGTTCTATTTATTTAATGCTTGATAAAATTTTGCAAACGACTCTCAATTTTTTATGATCCTCTCTTTGTGATTCTTGTGTGTCAACCTTTCTCGTTAAAATGTTGAGAGAAATTTGGATTTTCTGCACTGGCAGCAATCCATTTTCTTTGTTGAGCTGTTCTTCAATAACAATACATTCGTTATTTACAAGGGGAAGATTCCAGTATAGCGATTATCAGATTATTTTCACAAATCAATTAGTTCCAGAGTATTTATATATTGTTTCCTAAGGTCCTCGGTTTAGCATATTTGCTGCTTGTAAAAGTTGTTGACCCATTTGAAATTATCTTCAATTGTCCTTGGTGTGAAGAGAACTAATTGTTTTGCAAATTGACTAAACAACATATGTTTCTAAGTTGAGAAGAACCCAATTTTGATGCATAATGTATGCATCTTCTGATAGTTATAAGTGGTTCATTCCAAGACATGTCTTCAAAATTCAAACATATCTAGAATCATATGACCATATGAGTTTTTCTTCAGGGAAATTCGAGCAGTTAATTGAAATTTCAGCTTCCTTTTTTTGGTTCCTTACAGAATTATAACGACATGAGAAAACTTGAAGTGAAATAACTTATATTGTGGAAAAATTATTTGTCATGAGTTGAATTTATGACCCCCTTGCAAACAACAAAAATAACAATAACCTTATCTGATCAAGTTGGATTGATTCTATTGATCACACAACAGTATTGAACTTGGTCAGAAACCAAACTCTTAGGAATGTTGTTCACATACAGAGAAGACCATTGTAGGAACCAATGAGGGAGTAAATTGTGTGACTTTTAGTCTTTTGAAGAGAGAGAGAAAGAGATCCAGTAGGACATTAGAGGAGGTTGTTTTGAGGGATCTAATGATAAATAATATTTCTTAAGATTTGATGTTTCACCTAGCTGAATGGTTTTTTCGTGTTTTTTGTTAACCAACCTTACGTAGTGAGATAAGTTGGTTGTTGTGTTTCTTGATTGCCTCTCCTTTTGTCAAACATCTAGAAACCATGCAATTTACTCTCCCCACAGGTGCCTCTCATGGTTTTTTTGCACGTGTCTAAACAACATTAGTCAATTTTCTGTCATCTATTCCTCAGTACTTCTCACACCAATTATTCTGTATCGTATCTTTTCTTGTATGATCACACATACGTCTTAACATTCTCACTTGTATTACTATCACATTCTCGTGTTATTCATTCCTTTAAGTCCAATATTCTCTATACAGAGTATAGGCAGTTATATAATAGTACAAAAAACTTCCCTTTCAGCTCGGTTTGTTCTTTGTTGTCACAAATAACCTTCAATGCCTCTTTTCATTTTAACCACCTAACCTGCATCTTTCGTGTCTTGAATAATTTCGACATCATTTTGTATTATTGATTTTGATACTTAAACTTAGAAACTTGGGATGTGGCATCCATTCTTACCTATAAATTATATTCCTTATGTTCCAAAGTATGTAACCATAGCTCAAGTTTAAAGTGAACATTTGATTCTAAAATTTGAATTATATCATCCGTGAATAGTATGTATTTATGAATAATATTTTGTATGCTCCTTGGTGACTGCATCCTAGACTAAATTGAATAAACAAGGTTGAGCCTAATATAAACTTAGCAACCCTAGTAGTTATCTTATCATACATGTTGTCCGACCTCAAATCTACAAAAATAATATGTGGAGGGTATATATAAGTTATCATTGACTTAAACTTCAAAGCAATGTGAGACTTTTAAACGTAATGAAACACACATCTTGGAAAACTTAGATATAAGTCATAATGTCACTCAAATACCCTTCTTTTCCAAAGTATTCTACAACACTTCCAATAGCAAACGATCATTGATTTTCCCTAGTTAATAAAATAAGTCTCTTTTTCCTAACTTTCATATATTTTCATTAACCCTTGTAGAAGATAAAATAGCTTCTATTGTACACCTTCCGGACAAAACTAAATTGATTCTTTCGTAATCCCTATCACTATTCTTAATCTATGCTCAATCATTTTCATTTTCATTATTTGATAATGTTCATGTGGCTTTTATAAAAAATACATGAAATTTGATCATTTAGGCCTGTTTGGCTTGAGAAAACATTTAATTTTTCATTTCTCATTTTCACAAATAGTTACAAAACATCAGTTTCTCTTTTACTCTATTTGCTAAAGATAATTACTGTTTCCTATGAAAATCTTTGTGAAAGGAAACAAAGTTGAAATGAAATAGTTAGCAGTTTCGTAATTATTGGTGAGAACAACCAATGTTTTCTTAAAACCTAAAAATAAAAAGCTCATGGTTCCTATCATTCTTGTTATATCCGTGAATATTTCATAAGGGGTTATATTGCATTCCTCTTTTCTAATTGCTTAATCAATGTTAGGGAATTTTAACAAGTTTAATGTTTTCTCTTAGTGGAAGCCAAAGGAGACAGTTAGCCACGTTGAAAAGTAACTGTCTGCCTTGGGCCTTGCTGTATTTCCAGCATTTGTCATTTCATTTGTATTCGTTCTCTTTTCTTGGATGTTGTACAGGAAGAATTGGAAGAGCTTGAGAAAACAGCAAATGTATCGACCATATGCATGGAGTAAGTACTGTTTCATTACTTGTTTCTCTTCTTTGTGAAAGAAGAAATAAGAATATCCTAAACAAAAAGTTCATGGTATATTTTTAGAATGTGTAAATCTGAAACAGACTTGTTGGATTTGCCTATTCAGCAAGTTGTAAATTGACGTTTCTCTATTGATGGACCCTTTTTTCAACATGGGGATCAATGAACCGTGCATGGTCTTTTTAGCTTTCCTAACAAGTTTCTCTTATTAGTCGTGTTCTACAATATGCTGAGGCCTAAACAATTTCACTTGACGTAGTGCAGCTTGCTACAAAGCATGGAAAGCAGACCTGATCCACTACTCCCAGAGTAAATTGCTGTTACCTACATCTTTACTTTTAGTGTCATTTTGCCCATAGACTTGCAGGTGAAGTGAGTACTCATCATCAGTTTTCTCTACTAACAGAGTCCATGGACCTGTAAACCTGTTATGGGATAGATGGTTTGAAGGGCCTCAAGATCCACAAGCTTGTAGATGTTCGATACTTTGATTTAAAGCTGTGTCAATTGCCTTGCGATGCAAATAGGATGCCATGCCACATATTACTACATTAGAGTGACTCTGGAACTGAAGAAATTGTTTGATGACATCTTATACCACCAGCACACTAATTCTTTTATGGGTCCTTGCTTTTGTTACATTAGATTTTGATGAATGCTGTTCATGTGTAATCACAGTCATTTACTGTATTCAATGGAGAAGTATTATTATTTGTGCTTGTAATCCCAATCAAACTGCTAATATGCCTTGTGTTAACTTTTTTGCATAGACACACATATTTTAGCAGCATTCAGCCTTGAAGGTGATGGCTTTTGGAAAGGCCTGGCATTGGTTTGACGAGTTATCTATCAACTAGTCCTGAACGAGATTTTCCGGGAAACCACTTGAGGTTAGGAAAGTAAAGAAAGCTCGTAATCCTTGTTTCACAATTAAATTTGTTATGATAAGATTTTGTAATCATCTTACTTCTAAGCCCTCTTAAGTTAACAACCTGTTAGTTTCTCTTTGCCTTCTATATTTGCTGTCCCTCTCCTTGCAGCCCTTCCACAAGATGACTTTCAGATGTTATTATGTTTGAATTGTTAACCTTTTATTCCTTTCATGGACAACACGACAGTTGCAGCTGTTGTATTGCATAATAATTATGAATGTCCACTTTTCGTTTTGACTGGAACCTGCTTCATGTTTACGAATAGTGAATGCAATTCAGAAAGGAAAGGAAAAGGAAAAAGAAAAGCAATCAAATCAAATGGGCCTTCTACTTATCAGCATTTTAACTAAAGAAGGCCTTGTCTAAGTAGAAATTGTCTGTACCCAACCTTGGGATGCACACTATCGTTGTCATGCCAATAGCAGATAATGACATACAATCCACATCGCACAATTAGACAATAGAGGCTACGTGGATATTATTGCAGCAACAAAAGGTGACATCACCTAATAGAGATGGGATTTAAGACAAATATAGTCAATAAGAGTGCGAGTAACAGTGTTTGTGAAGGTAGTAACAGTGGACAGACAATTTTGTTAAACAGAGAAAAGACATTTTGTTTGTGCTTCATTCTTAAATTGTTGCATACTTGTGTTGTCTAAAACCAGGAACAAGATTTTAATTGCAAAGTAATCAATATTAAAAGGGATTATTTCACTTTATTTATTGTCTGCTGAAGAAATGTTCATGTTTGGGGAAAGGTTATGCGTGTGCTGGTTCCAAAATCTCATTCAATTTCTTATAAAATATTTTTAAGCATTCTCGAATATAAATTTTTTACAGTTCCAATAAAGGTCAAGCTCCAACCACTAAGCGTGTGTTTGGTTTGTAAATTAAAATTTTTAAACCCACATTCACAAAAGCATGTTTCTCATTTTGGTGTTTGGGAAAATGGAAACTTCATTAGGCAGTGATACAAACAGATTTTCAAACACAGCATAAATGTATTTGGTTTGTCATTTACAAGGCTCTAAAAGTTGGTTGATGCATTCCAAAGCTCATAACAGCAAAGAAAATTTGTTGAAGATTTAGAAAAATGTGAGTTGCATTATATTCAACATCTTTTCAAACTCATCCTGAATATTAAAATTTAATACTACCTTATGTTATTGTATTTTTCTAGTGAGTTTAAATGTTATTAATTCAGTAAAAAACATTAACTGCAACCTAATTGACAATGTTTTAATTCAACCAGGAACATAATTGGTAAAGAATTTAGGCATGTGTGACTAGTTAGTTCATGTTGCTGCCATACATCAAGTGACAAAGGATGATCTTAACTTAATTAGAAGTTTGAAATTCAGAGTCTCTCAGCTGAGTTGAAGAATAAAAAAAATTTCACTGACAGTGGGTCAATGTAATGTTTGGAGTCCAGTAGTCCTAAATAAAAATAAGTTACAATTTCTTGAAGTGTTTAATATGCTGCATTTAACATAGAAAAAATCAACATTTAGGGTGTATCTAGAAATGTGGTATTTATGAACAAAAAGTGAAGCTAAGTGAGCAATAATTGTGGGGTGCATTCTGTGCAAAGAGAAAAAACAGGAGTCAATGTTTTGTGGCGGCATCATCACACTTTGTCCTTGGACCTTAACTATTTCTGCTTCTGCTTCTGGATTTTCAATTATCTATGCACCATAGTGGGTCTTGCCTGCATATAAGACTAACAGACAAATAAATAAAGTTGTAGTGGCCGGCAACCACACCACCTAATTAGCATTCAAATTCCCCATATAAATCCAATCCCTTTACTCTATTTTCTACAACCATTACTTGGATTAGATCCACTCTTTCTTCTTTCAAAATCACTATTAATTTAACTCTCAAGGTCTGCCAGCTAATTATATTTCCTTTAATTTTCATTTTTTAGAAAACAATTATTTTTCACCTATCATCATCCGAAAACTTTAAAAAAAATGTGAATTGTTATTTTGTAAACTATATCCTTCTTCATACCTAATTTTTGTACTATTTTGCACATTTATCATGAAATTAAAGCCAGACAAACCAACAATAATTAACTAACAGTTTTTCAGAATATATATATATATATATATATATATATATATTATTGTTATTTTATCAATTTCATTTTAAATACTTTACACATGGAAAATTAATAAAAAATTTAAGACAAATAATTGTTTAAAATTAATCAATGATGTTATATTGAAATTTTAACATATATAAATTACATTAAATAAGAAATAAATAATTGTCACATACAGTAATCCTAACTCATTTAAACAATATGGATGATACCTGTGGCATAACTCATGCCACTAGCAAATATTTTCAGCGAAGCTCAGGGCATTAGGGTCTGCAAATGGCACTTGCAGGTGATGATAGCATTTTTGTAGACAATAGTTTTGTTTGCATGTCTTTGTATTTTATTGGTGTACAACAAAAGAGCAGAGGAGAATTAATATCCCATTTGGTACAAAAAACATAGTCCACAAAAAGACCGTTGCATCATCGTGGTCAGCATCTACATTGAAAGTAAAAAATGTCATTCTGAACTTACAATACTTTAGAATAAAATTTATGGAAAGCTTCAACGCATGATTATAGTAAGAGGTGAAGTACTACTTGACTTGACCATGATCACGAGTCGTTGTATTGTATGAGTTACACACATACACACTGGAGTGTGCATGAAGCATGGAACCATGTTTTGAATCCTCCAATGGAGTGACCCAATAAGAGAGAATGGGGTTGCATGTGAGCATGGCTACATTATCGATGAGAAAGGGCACTGCATTTGGCATTTGGCAAATGGGTCCGCGTCCCAAGCAAATGAAGATGGAGACATACCCCCTCTCAGTAATAACCATTCTGTGAACACATCATCTTATCTCATATATTGTACTCACGAAAAAGAACCGTTATACATCGTTTTCTTTTACTTTCCTCCAATCACTTTCTCTTTGTCCTCCCCCATTTGCTTAATTAATTATCAACTTCAGATTGTTTCCATATGTGCATTTTTTTTAAAGCACCAACTACTTGGAATAGCAAGCCAAACCAATAAAACAATTAAATCCTTCATGTTATTGGCTCGTTGCCTTTCGTTTAAGGAAAACTAGAATATACACATGTCAAGGTGTCCTGCACTATAGACTTGTTTAGATTATTATATCATTCTATAATTAATCCAAATTCTATTCCATTATTATTATTATGGCTATACCTAAACCCTACAATATGTGACCTCATCCAGCAGAAGACTCTCTGCAAATTTTTTTTCTTTCTTAATGAATGAATCACTGGTCTATCTACCCCCAACTAGACTAATCATAACATTCGTTTATAGCTATCTATTCTATTGAAAATCTCCATAAATTATTGGTTTCACAAATTACATGGTTCTATAGAGTTTATAATTTTTGTGAACTTTTTCTTAACTAATCTTTATCATTTCCTTAACTGTACAAATTTTTCTAACTTGGTTGTAAAGTGTGAGATGGTGAATTTGTCATACTGTTGGAAAATTAAGTGAGAACAAGATCTAGCAGTAGCAGAAGCCATAAAACTGTTCCCCCCCCCCCGCATATCATGTGCATAGATTCATCTTTTCTTCTTTTCATCCCTCATCATCTTCTTTTGGACTTGGGATCTTTGATTTCCCATTTTTAGGAAAGAGGTAAACAGAAAAGCAAGGGCATGTGAATGTAAGGGGAGTGGTCTCTTTTTGGGATATAAACAATTTTACCCTTGTTCTAGATTAGGTCGTGCTTATATTCCTATATATGTCTTATATCAGTCAGAACATCTGTAGGGTAATTAATAGAATCAAATTCCACAGGCCAAAGATAACTAATCTTCCCACTACATGACAAGGATGCTATGCATTCCAGCACACGAAGAAGAGCTTCTAAAACTTCAACATGGTTAGAGATATACATAATCTTTCACCTTAATTATTACACACAATAATTCTCCTTATGCTGTGGATTCTCTGATCTGAAAAGACTTATCAAAACTAAAATAATTGTAAAACTGACTAAAGTGAAACTACATAATTTTAATATCTTATCTCAAACAATTAAAAATTAAAGGGAGGGTACATATTAGTTAACTCATTTTTTTAAACACATTTCAGAAAGTCTTAAAAAATACAAAGGAATGATTGACTTCATTTTCATATATTGGACATGTATGATTTGTGGATTGGAGGGAACGAATTACAATTTAAGAAAAGGCAGGGTTATAGGTTGGTAGCAAAATAGGTGAGAAATTGGGTGGGTTGTCTTGATTAAGTAAGAAGGGTAGTGAAATGGATAGGAAAAGGCTAAAAAAAATGGTGCAGCGGGTGTTGTAGGTAATGAATAAAAATGAATAGAAGGAAAAAATGGAGAAGCATACATAGTAGATAAAAGAAAGAGAGAATCCATGTGGGTGGGGAGGGAATACCAGTGTTGGAAGTGGTCCAAGTGGTGACCCCAAGATAGAGGAATCACAATCTCATTTCCTCTTCATCATTCATTCATTCGCCATTG